ATAGTAACGTTACGTATTTCAAAAGAAAATATATTATAACGAATATTTTGAACGTATTTAGAAAGTAAATATCCATGTACTAAAATTGAAAAGGGTAATTATTTTATTTTAAATTTATAATTCATGCTCGCTATAAGTTTAATTAATATTCGTATGTACCTCACACGAATCCAAGAGACTATTGAACCCAGGCTACATTTTCTTCCGTTTCCACCCCTCCTAAATCGCTAGAAAATCTACATAACTCCCTTTTTACGTTATATGCCGGCTCATATTTTGATCCAGGTCAGTTTATGGACTTGATGTTATTGAAGCTTCTAAGATTAATGCAAGGACCAACCACATTATGATTCCCCGCAGAGTTATGCAATATTTTTGTCACCAAAAATCTGCAATGCGAGTCGTTTCATGAATAATTCATGCTTGAGAATCATTATTTTTTCGTTTCATAGCGTTTCGGGCTACCTATTCATTCGGTACACTCTTCTTTTTGTTGGACTTGTACTTCCATATGCTAACAAGGAATATCAATAGATGTAGAGAGACGCGATTCCAGATTTCACTCTATCATTTTTAGATGTTACCTACCTAAAGGTTGTAACTGAACGAGTTTTTAAATAAAATAACTCCTTTTTTTTCACGTACAGAAGCTTTATTTAAATAATACGCTTGCAAGAACTCTATGTATGAATTTCAAAAGCAATATATATTAAAGGCAGAGCTGGTTTCATTGGTGATATGCCATCGAAACAATTGAAAATTTAAATCAGATGTGTATACGAATATAACTTTGAAATTTACAAAAACCTTGGTGTTCGAGTTTTTATGGGACTTACAAAAATTTACTTCTATGCAAGTGAAGAATGTATTGGAAAGGTAATCAGAGGGTAGCAACTATGCTTTTCAAAATATTTCGCATGAAACAGTTGAGCCAGTTCACTGAAAAAAAAATTCAAAATGTTCGATTTTCATATCAAAATCCAACATAATGATTCATGTCATACTCTCAGATTTCAGTGGATGATAGTAAAAAATGTCAGAAAGGTATTTTTCTTGAGTACTCTTTTTCATGTGTAGTTTTGTCTGTGAAAATGCTTGTCAGATCTCATTTATACTTTTTTATGATAAATTATTCTTAAAGCTGATTTTTTAAAACTCTTTGTTGCATGTTGTTCTATATAGCGAGAAAGAATTTTATAACAACATAAATGTAATAGAAAAAAAAAATTGAAGCATACTTTTGTTACGTTGTGAGCGACATTCGCAGTTGTTTTATTGAGATTTAAAAACACAAACACACATACATTCAAGGCTTACAAACTATAATTAAAATCTTGACATTGTTATGAGTCAAGTAAATTACAAAATTTTGTAAAAATAAACAAAATCACTAAATATTAGTTTATACGCTATAAAGAATATTATTTTTAATAAAAAAAATGTATGAAAGGTGTGCATAATTACGTAAAATTATATCAGCAGTGAAAGGAGCAATATTATTAATGATATTTTTTCCCTTTTATATATTTCAAAATACTTACATTAAACAGAAAAAAATAAATTATGTAGAAAGAAAAAAAAAATATGAATGCTTCATTTTGAATCTTGATCAACTTCTAAGACAACACAAGGACTATTTAAAAAGGACAACGGAATTTTGATACACAATAAAGTAACTGAAAAGCTGGAAACACCCCTTTCCAAATTTCCATACCATGCAGATGACATAGAAATATTTAACCCACGTCAGCTCTTTACACAGTGGGTCTTCAGTGACACTATATTATATAATGTTAGAAACTTTGAAAATGTAAATGAAAGTATTTAAAATATTGTGGTTTTGAAAATTTTTTTGTTGAAAAGTAAGATAATTTGTGCTACACATCAACTACATACTTGTTCATTATAGTATTTCCTCTTTTTAAAATAAATAAACACAAAATTGTAAATTGAATTACGGAGATAGTAGATTTGCACAAAATATGTTTAATGTAAAGCTTTGTTTTTTCATAAAAGTAAACATTAAAACGAAAAACTACTCTTTATTTGAACCCCCAGCGTTTCTCAAACTATGGAGCACGCTTCCCCCTAGGGGGCATGGTAAGCCTACGTGGGGGACGCGAGCGAGCCAAAATGTTGAAAATAAACGACTGTTTATAAAAAGAATTAGTTAACTGAAAAGAAACATAAAAATGCATTTTGAAACATTTACACTGATGTAACATACTCATAAATGTATCAGAGCTGCACTATGTGTACCTGATAATTAATTTATCAATAATAAGTTAAGGACATAAGTTAAATAATTATTAGGGCCTTCCATAGGCTTGCCATATATAAAATTATACACAAAATATAATAATCGACTTTATAATTGTTCGGTTTATAATTAAAATCTTACTGTAGCTTAAGCGACAAAATGCATTATTATTGCATTCAACACAATGTTATTGCACGGAGGGTGCGCGATGAAAATTATGATTAACAATTGGTTCGCAAACATTGAAAATTTGAAAAGTACTGTCGTAGCCTATTAAAAGCTCCGGATAGTATAATTTTAGTCGAGGATAATTTCCAGATCATACGATATTCAAAATAATGTTTCTAATAACATATATTTTAAAGTATACCAATCGATGTGTGGGTTTTTTTTAATAATTATATTTATTTTCAGCTAACCAGAATGTCTTCGTTCATCATCTTGCGAGCTGATTTGGGGAAAATTCAACTAAAATATACCTTTATTAGTTTATTGAATAGTTTAAAACATCAATTATATATTTATTTAAGTCATAAGAATTTTGTTAATATCCCGGGCAACAGATGAACATATTTAAAGATATAAAATTTCAAGCAGTATTACTAATTTTTTATTCTAAACAGTGTGATACGGATGGACCCAAATAACACATTCCTTACATGAGTTCAAAGCATTACAATTTAATGTATCATGTTAATGTAAAATTCATATTTCTTTAACATTTTTAAAATTAGAGAAAAACAATCGTATAAAACCTTTGATAGTTAATCCAATCAATGAGGAAAAAGACTGATCATTGATTTTAGTTCCAAAATGTCAGTTTCAATATAAAGTAATGTAATTTTTCCACCAAGTCTTACTTTAGAAATTTTTGTTAGTAGCGTTTCTATTTGAGAAAGTCAAGAACATCGAATGGAACGTAACAACAACTGTCATACCAATTCGCCCGGCAATTTATAAAACAATTACAAGAAACTAGTTTCAATTTCTTGGAATTCAGCTTAACCGCTAAAGTAAACAGGAAAGCTATGGATCATAAGCGAGAAAGAACGGACATCCCCAATTTTCTTTTCCCGTTCATTGATGCAGCAAATTTGCTTCCGTCTGGGTATAGCGTTCCGTTTTATTGATTGAATTGTTGGTCAGTTTGATTGGTGTTTTCAGTCAAAAACAATGATACAATTGAGTTTCAATTCTCTTGGGATATATCTATGGCACAATAAAGTTTCCCTTCCTCGGTTTTACATCAAATGAAAAACCTTTTTGATCTTCCGAAACTTCGCTTTGATTATCGTTGTTTTAACGATCAATCGATTTTTTTCTCTCTCTCTCTCTCTATTTCTTTCCCTTTATTTTATTTCCTAAATTTTTAGAAAAAAGGAGAAAAAACTTTCGTGTTTGCGCTGTGGTTCACGAGGGATTATCGAAATTGTCTCAGTTTTATGTTGGAAAATAAAAGCCTTTTATGGTCAAACCGTTTTTCGGATAATAAGCTCGATATCAGCACCAGTGATATTTTTTAAGAGTTTTGAAATATGATGTGGAGTTCAACGTAGATTTAATTTATGCCATGGGTTCGAAAGTGAACAATTAGTATGTTCTTGAAAGTAAATAAAGTAATATAAGTTGCTCATTTTTTCACATAACTGTATTTGTTTTATATAAGTAATTTTTAATCATAAAGAGACGAATGTGTGAAAACTCAGTTAATAAAACAATATTTTAAGTATAATTTAAGTAGTGCAACACATTTAATGTGCATATCTTAAATTTAATCTTATCCTCATTAGTAAAAAAAAAATATTATTTTGCATATTTAAAAAACATTCGCTGATCAAACATTACTTGATTAGAGAAACTTAAGATAAACCGATATTTAGTCTTATTCAGTCGTTCAAATTTCTTAAGATTTACTAATGTTGGTATAAAACATTTGAATTACAGTTAATTTGAGTTTAAATTTATACCGTCTTTCCTGTATAGTGGTTAGTGATGCTGACTGCGGTGCCGTAGGACCTGGATTTGAATCCCGGAGAAGACATTTAAGTTTGTAAATGTATAGTGCCTTCGGGGCAAGAAGGTACTATAAATAGCCGTCAAGCCGCAAGTTTTCTTGTGAGTTTGCAGGAAGGGGAAGAGAGGTGAGAGGTCCTTATCAACTCCCAGGGTTTTCTCCCTCAAAATTTGGATGGAGCCGAGCAAAATCGTACAGTCACCTACATAGTGCTCAAAGCTAAGGCTAACGACATGCTTAAAAATCTAGCCCTTAACTGCAATGAATTTCATGGACTTTGATCTGAGGTAACTCTCGATACATAACAATTCCAACTCAAGAAATCTATTCTGTTTAACAAGGAAACAGTGGCTTAAATTATCAATCTCACCGAAAGGATCTCACCATGGTTTCAATTATTTGACATTTAGGAAGGTATGGCTTAAAAATTAACAAAGAAACAAGTAATATAAAAAAATATTGAAAAAGTCAATTCTCCTATATAGGTCAACAAATAAAATCTTTATTTTAGTTACTTTTTATTAAATGGTTACAATTAATATAAATATGACAGAATTACAATATTAAATGACAAAATAAAAAGGTATTCTCCTTGCAATTTTCCATTTCCCCTTCAACATGTTGTGTTCGACTATCTGTTTTGTTTGCTACTATTTATTAATTAGTTAAGCTTAATTATTCTAAAATAGTAGAATAAAAAATAAATCACATTCTCAAAAGTTAGGTTATCCCAGGTGGGATTCAAACCCACGACCTTTGGATTAGATATCCAACGCATTATCCATTGTTCCACAGGGACACTACGAACGATTTTCCTTTCTGTATATGCTGTTGGACGTTTATATTTCGTTTTTTACTATTTATTCTTTTTTTTCAAATTTAGTTAATGAATTAATATTTGAAAAATCGGTTTTAACATCAATTTTCATCCACTACGAGTTTTGAAAAAATGTATTTGAACTTGATGGATGATAAGAAATAATTTTTTATTACACTATTGAAAATTTAAACAATTTATATATATATATATATATATATATATAGCATAATAAAATAAAAGTAAAAGTGAAAAGTACTAGAACCTACAGTGCTAAAGAAGAATCATGTGCTTTGTTTCATACAATGTCGCCAATTGGTTGGGTTATATCTAAATACCTTATTTTTTTCAAATTATGCTTTTGCATTGATAAAGTTAGTTCAGTTCTTTTAATGTCAGTTACTGTTAGTATTGTACTTCATTTTTTAATTTATTTTTATGCTCGGAATATATATATATTGGATAATTTTTTTAGTTCAGTTCGTTCACTTTGGCAATCCCAATTTTGTATGCGTTGAATTGTCAATCATGTGCTTCATTTTGTATAATATCACCAATAGGTTGCAATAATACGTAAGTATCTTTAATTCTGTACATTACTATAACATTAGACTGGCCGCATCATACCAATTTGGCGTGATTTCAAAATCATGCCAAAAATGAGTAGCGAACCAATATGAAATTAATATTATGAGTATTATCTTAGCCTGTTCTATCTTTCCCTCCAGTAATCCTTAATTAATTCAATATATATATTTATATTTTAGTACTTACATTTTTTTTTGGTTATCATGTACTGAAAATATTTTTTTGCACATTGCGATGTCTTTGGCAAAATTAATCAGTGTTATTTTTCTTAAATATGTTTTTTTTATCTGTTTTTGAAAATTTTAAAAATTTTGTTTGATGTCTGTCTGAAATGCAAATTTCAAAATAAATATTTTGCAGTATATATATTGTGTTTGTACGAAAATGTTTATACTGATTTATTTTCAAAATATTGAGCCGCTTTTATTTTTGATATCTTTTTACGATTTAATTTTATGTTATAACTAGCTATACCCAGCTAAATGTTGCTGTGGCTCAGTCAGCTTTAAAAGACTGGTACACCATAAGGTATGTCATGAAGCTTACAAAAGTAATAATACACAAGAATTCAAACAAATCTATATACATATAAGACGCATTTGTTGTCTGTCTGAATAAACATTCTCTTTCACACTACATCATTTGGACAAATTTTCAATATTTGTTTGTGTGGTTAGTAATTAATTATAATGCTATAATTTTAATTGAAAAGGCAGATATTGCATTTTTAAGTATAAAAATAGTTATAACTACTGTACTGTATTTTTTGGAGTGAATGAATATTAACGTCGCACTGTTCAGCTACATGAGGGCTTTTGGCGACGGACCACGTAATTTTGAACTATGGTCAAGTGACGTGGAGGACACCTGAGCTGGCACCCCCTTCTCCTAACTACCACACCACACCAATTTAGAAGGAATATTCTACCAATACTTAGCTGGAATATTCTTTGAAACTCACTCTTCCAAGGTATATGACAGCACGGGTTCTGTGATGAGTATTTTAGCGGGGAAGGCGAATAGTTTTGTAGCAGATATTACATTTTCAGCTGACGGCGTTTTCAGCGGATTGCAAAGATTATCATTTTTGTCCCCCAAATAGTTAATGTCAAAATTTAAGTGTCTTATGTTTTTGTATGTTTATGGAGACCTTAGAAAACGATTTGACTATTTATTTTAAGAGAATGGTATATATAAATAATTTTACAGTGGAATATATTTAATTAATTTATTAGCTTTAACCGATTAAATTTCCATAAGTGGAGTATTTTGTTTATGTATGTCCCTTAATTTTCAATGTAGTGACCTAAAAAAATATTGCATGAAAAAAATTGCAGTAAATCATAATGCGGTAGATAAAGCATTGACGTGCATCGCTCCCCTACACGGCGGGTCTTACAAAGCTCTAATAAAGTTTGAGCTATGAAAGTAGCTAGACATTTGTCAACTTGACTCTATCGTCAACATTTTGCTATGTTTTTCATTGAATCAACATTGCTATTTAGGAAACGGCGTTGCTTGCGAGTATTACAATTTTAACATAAAATAAATTCAACAGAAAGTTATATTAATGTATGACACTTTCAGTTATAAATTATTTACAATATATTAAGCTTCACAAAACTTTTAACAATGTGTTACTTTTGCTGAGCAGAGATCAGCTTAGGGAGGTATTCTCAAAATTCAACCCTTAAGAGTGTTACGGAGAGTTATAAATATAAAAAAATGCTTTTTATCAGCTATTATATCTACAGACTTAAAATTTAACACACAAAGGTATTTTTTATTTCTTTTTTTTTCTTCAGCTGAGATATGTGAAAAGCTTTTTTTTTGTTTAATTTGCAATTTACTTAAAATTAACTCATTAAAAACTTCTTTAACCTTCAATCTGTGTTTAACTTTTCAATTCACCCGTGCGAAGAACGGGTATACCATCTAGTATATATATATATATATATATATATATATATATATATATATATATATATATATATATATATATATATATATACATATATACAGGGAGAGAGTGAACTAAAAGTAGGAATTGAATAAACCATTTCTTAGGAAATATATAGTAAGTAAAAAAAAAAAAAATTAAGCTTTATGATCAGTAAAGTTCAACAAAGAATTTAAGGTTTGTAATACTTAGCATAAGGAGTTATCCTGTTCAGCACCATGATCACATATATGGAATAATTAGTTTCTTTCGTCAGAGATACGTTTGATTCCGCTTTACCTGTTTTGAAGCCCATGATCACAACGGTGTGAAATAATTTGGAATGTATAAGTATAAATGCTTATAAACTACAAATCCCGTAGATTTTGTTACAGTAATGAATTTATATGAATTTTTAAATGAAGTTAAGCTTAAGAGAAAAATCACCTGTTCCTGAACGGGTAATATTTCAAAAGGAGATTGGTGTGTCATTGTTAAATAAATTAAAAATAAATCAAGTAAAAATGATTGTTGATGTAATAAAGTAATGAAAAGAGCAACTTACTCTTACTGTATTAGTGATAGATTGTTTTATATCAAAAATATTTTCAATGCAGGTGTATTCGAAAAAATTAATAAAAATAAACAATTATTTTGAAGAACTGAAATTTTTTTGCCTAGAAATGTCCTTCAGTTTAGAATAAATATTTATCACACGTTAAAACTCACTTGCAGTAAAGTTCAATAAAGATATTAATTCTTTTTATTTAAAATCCCGCTTTCTTTTTGAAAACAGATATTATTTTCTCCTGATCAATTTAAAATTCTATCTCGCAAATATTTATTTCTTTTTGCTTCATTTACATACTACACTGCTAAAAACAATTAAAGGATATTGTAAGTTTTATATAAAATAAAGATATAAGCGAATTTTTTTGCCGAAAATTGAAGAAGAGAATCACAAATGCAAATTTTTCTGATTTTCAAACTGTGGAGTATGCTAATTTTGATTTCGACGTCAAAAACTTCGCTTCAGCGGCAGCGAATGAAATGTGACTTTCAACTGAAATGAAGACAAGCATGATCGGCATTCAGTGACTGCTTTGTTTCGATGAGTACGATGTCTCAGCGAAGTCATTTAACTGATTCAGAAGCTTGGAGAGTTGTTGGCAGGTTAGAAGGGGGCCAAACTCAAGCCGAAGTAGCGCAAGCCGTTGGAGTGTCACAAAGTGTGATTTCCAGTATCTGGAACCGTTTTTTGGAGACTGGAAGTGCAAGCCGAAGACCAGGACAAGGTCTTAGACGGGCAACAACGCCCAATGAAGATCTTTGTTTAATGTTAATGGCTCGGAGACACCGAAATATGAACGCTACTCTTCTCCAACAACACCTTCGCTCGGATACTGGCACCACGGTTTCAACTCAGACTGTCCGAAACCAGGTCCATGGTGTAGGTCTGTATGCTCACCGACCAACGGTATGTGTTAGACTAGCATCAAGGCATCGTCGCGACCGCAGGGAGTGGGCAACAGAGCATGTGAACTGGAGGAGAAATGAATGGAGCAATGTTCTTTTTCCTGACAAGTCCCGTTTTTCTGTTCATCCGGATAATAGGCGTATTTTCATCTGGAGGGCCGTGGCAGTAGAAATAATCCTGCGTTCGTCCACGAAAGTGTCAGATTTGACGGTGGGGAAGTGTTGGTGTATGGTGGCATCTCCATCGACGGGCTCACAGACCTCTGCATCATTCGAGATGGACCTCTGACTGCTCGGCGATATAGGGATGAGATCATCAGACCTATTGTAGTCCCTTACGCTGCAGCAATCGGAGATGACTTCATTTTAATGGACGATAACTGCAGGCCACCTCGTGCTAACCTGGAGGAGGATTTCCTTTTAGAGGAAGAAATCATACGAATGGAATGGCCAGCATGTTTTCCAGACATGGATCCAATAGAGCACGTTTGGGACGCTCTAGAAATACGAAATGCTGGCCGCCAACCACCCCCACAAACTCTCCAAGAACTGGAAAGAGCTCTTCTGGAAGAGTGGGACAGAATCCCCCAACTCGTGATTAATAGCCACATTGACTCCATGCTTCAGAGGTGCTCAACGTTGCTGGCCGTCCGTGGAAAACATACCCCCTACTGAAAATGATTTCCTTTGAAGAAAACACCTTTCCTTATTGTTTTTTTCTCATATGCACAAATTGTGTTTTTTCCCTTTTGTACACAAATGCGCAATAAAATGCATTTTTTCTGCCAAACATATGTAATTTATTCTCATATAACCTACTACGTCTGTCGACCATGTATCAATCAGTCGAACATGTATAAAAAGTTTCCCAGCCACAAGATCCACCTAAAACCGCAATATCCTTTAATTATTTTGAGCAGAACTTGCATCTCAATTACTTAAAAACAATGTATTGCCCAAGGGGTTTGCGAGAAGTTAA